TGAATGTACTTTTGAAGTTATTGGAGAAAAACCTGCCTAATTTAAAAGGCTAACATATTTTAAATCTTCAGAAGTGTCTGAAGAGGAACAAGTTGTCCTTTCCAACCATAATTGATGCTGAGTCTAAAGCAGCAAAAATCATTTCAACTGTAGACAGAAAACAAGCCCACATGTTTTAAGACAGTTCTTCTTTCAGATGAGACATGTCTGGTGTCCCACACAAGGATCCCTCACCTCCTCTTCCTCTTCCTTACAATCCAAGTTATTGCTAGTGCTGCCTCTTTCACTTGAACAGCAGTTAGTCCTCCTGTCTCTTCCTTACATGGTCTAGACAAATGATCCAGGATGTTATCTTATTTTAAAAAAACAACAAAACCTTTTTTATTAAACAGCAGTAGTTTGAACTGCGAATTGGGTGTCTCTTCTACAGGGATATTTTATTTTCTTTTAGAATATTGGTATGTAAAGCATGAGATCTCCATGCAGAACTCAAGTCTAAATGTGGGTGCATTTATAAGTCATGAACACTATACATATACACATAGCTTGAATAGTTTATATTTGTCTACAGTTAATATTTGAGATTATAATTTAATTATATTTCTCCCTTCCCTTTGCTCCCTCTAAGCGCCCCCCCATATACTCCTCCTGCTCTCCTTCAAATTCATGGTCTCTTTCTTCACTAATTATTATTGTATGCATATACATATGTGTATATGCATATATATTCCTAAATATAATCTATTGAGTCCATATAATATTAGTTGTGTGTATATTTTCAGAGCTTATTTTTTGGCACTGGACAACCAAGTGCTAACAGAAGTTCCTTTTCACCAGGGCCAGATGTCATTATTCCGAGAGCACTTGACATTGGTGGAAATTCAAAATTGTTCGCTGGCCGTGGCCATGGTCATGGCTGTGATTGTGACTAGAGGCAACTTCTAGAGATCAGTACAAACTTAATATGACAGACACTGGCCTAGTAGTTGCTGATAGACCAGGGCTCTAGCTCTGCCTTCTTCACTGGAAGTTATGTTGAAGAAAACCACATATCTAAAGCAAAGTTTCTTCACTTCACTTGTGAAGCCGAGAAAGCTAGATCCTCTACCTTCTAGGGACTTTTTTTTATACGGTTTTCAAACATCATGATCAGGCATTTTGCATTATGTTATCCGAAATGTGTTTCTATATGTGGCATGTCACATCATTCATAGCTTATATACACTGAATTTTACATTTTAATTTTAAGAACTTAATTTTAATACTAAAAGAAATCAAGGAAAGTATACACTGTGCTCTTTAATTTACACAATGGGAAAAGAGGAAAGCAGAGCCCATCAGCTCACAGGTGCAGTCAGTTTGAAATGCTGAGTAATCCACTCCAGCCAGAGCTATTCGCGATGATTAGGGAGGTATTTCTTTGAGACATGGGGTGTCCCTGTAGCTTCTGGCTTCTCTCTTTCTGTTGGATGATTCAAAGGCTTTAGATGCATTCTTGGTGTTTCCAGTCATATGATAGGACACACAGAGCATGAAGAAATAGCATCCGTCAAAGAGAGACCTAGAGATTGCTGGTTTAAGAGTAAAGAAAAAGTGTAATTGACTGACCTGCAGCTACATCAGAAACCCATCGAGAACCTTCTGGTTTCTCCAATTTGACTCAAAGAGAAAACAGAAAAGGAGATATTAAAGACATCCAAGCCTGTGTGCCAGAGAGAAGGCCAGAGACCTGGTTCTACTTCCAAGGGAAACATGTTTGGTTTTTTGGTTTTGTTTTTTGAAAAAAGATCTTCTAAAAAACAAATGCATTTGAAAGGTCCCAGGGACTACAGACCAGTTTGTAAGCAGCTGTCATTTGGTTGATAGCTCAATGTGAGAACTCTCTAGCAAATTCAGTGCACATGCTTGCTCGATCCTTCTGGTTAAAGGCCTTTTCATTGATTTTTTTTTGTGCCTTTTTTTTTTTTTACATGCATCTCTGGTGAAAAGAATTAAAATGACCAGGGATGCAGGGGTACATGGTGAGGCCAGGGATGCAGGGGTACATGGTGAGGCCAGGGATGGAGGGACGCATGGTGAGACCAGGGATGCAGGGGTACATGGTGAGGCCAGGGATGCAGGGGCACATGGTGAGGCCAGGGATGGAGGGACGCATGGTGAGGCCAGGGATCCAGGGGTACATGGTGAGGCCAGGGATGCAGGGGCACATGGTGAGGCTAGGGATGCAGGGGTACATGGTGAGGCCAGGGATGCGGGGTTACATGGTGAGGCTCTATGCCAACACCATGGCTGGCAGCTAACTTGACTCCACATCTTCTGGATTCTGGAAGCATCCACAAGTTAGAGTCTGCAAAAAGTGAGAAAGATTCGAATGTGGGTGCCATGGAAACTGTTGCTCTTATTGTGCAGCTTAGTCAGCCAGAGACATGGGGCAGGCAAGTCATTTGGGCCACCACAATGGCTGTTCACAGGCATTCAAATCCCACAGGCCCCCAGTGACTGGTCATGTGCACTTTGCCGGTTTATTGTACTGTTAGTTCACATAACTGACACCAAGAACCCTGTGGTAAGAGTAAATTTGCCTCCATTCTAAAGCATAAAAATGGACCAAAAGGTGATGACTTAGAACGACAACATTTACTTCAACCCTCATTCTGTGCTTTGCTTAGGTATTTGTTCTGGCCTGAGCCAGGTAGTCTGATCTGGACTGTCAACTGTTGCACCTGGAGAGAGCTGGCATTCCAACCAGCAGCTGCATAGTCAAGCATAAAAGGTTCCTTTACTTGTCTGGCAGTGAAGATGTTATCAGCTAGAGTGGCAGGTGCAGCTAAGCTGTGTGGAGTTTGGCTATTTTACCTAAAGATTTATTTATTTGTGAGTGCGTGCATGTGTGCATGTGTGTGCAGTGTGTGCAAAAAATGGCACACAAGGTGTGCACACTGGTACACTGGAGGACAGGAAAGGGAGACTACATAAACAAGCTTTTACAACCTAGATGCTGGGAACTAAGCGCATATCATTTTTGAAGACTAACAGCTGAGCAACTCTCCAGCTTGGCTTTTGTTATTCTAATCAAGGAGCATGTTGACTGCCTGCCTTTCTAACATGACAGTTGCAGTGAATTCTAAAAGGAGCAAGATGGCTTCGCAAAGAAAGGCACCTGCAGCACGCCCAAGGCCTTGACATTGATCCCTGGGACCATAATGTCCATGTTACTTCTCCAAACCAGTGGCCCTGCAAGTCCTTACTCTCCCAATTTAACATCCTCAGTTCTTCCATTTACTCCAACGTGGATTAACATTGTTAGTATTTCTAGCGAAAGTCTATGTAGACAATTAGAAGTATTTTGAAAAAGGCATTTGCCATTTCAGATACTAAAACCACCCTTTTCTTTATATGCCAACTTCAGAGGTTGGCCTAGATTGAGATGGTGATAGGGATTGTGAAGTTTCTGCAGGGATTAGCAGGAAATGTCACTAATTGAGGCGTGGGTTCTGGGTTTGTCAACCTGCCACAAATTTAATCCTTTACTCATGGGGTGGGCTCTAATGAATCACTAGTTGGTTATAAAAAGGATGGGGACAGCCCATGCAGCAGCCTGAACCAGTGTTAGGAGAGGGAACACGTGGTTTCCAAGGCTACACAGATAGGACATCGGACAAAGTATAAGAGAAAGAGCTAGATTAGAGAGATAAGGATGTTCACAACCACAAGTGAAAGATAAAGGCAGGACCTCTTTTCTAAATCCATCAGGAGGCATTATCACAAATTCTCGACACAAGAACCTTCTTATGCATTAAAGGCTGCAGAGCTGCATCTGAGGAGATGGCTCACCAAGTAAAATCACCGGCCATGCAAGCGTAAGGCCTGGAGTTCAGATCCCCAGCACCTACATACAGGCTGGCAGGTGTGGTGTCCTAACTGCAATCCCGGCACACATGAGGTAGAGACAGGAGCTCCCTGGAGCAAGCTGGCTAGCCCAAGTAGTCAAGTCGGTGTGCTCTGGGTTCAGACTTTGCCTCAATAAGGTGAGGAAGATCAACCTATGGCCTCTACACATATGCACATATACATGTACCCTAACACACATGTGCCCTTAAACATGCAGACATACATACACATGCCCATATATACCACAAACACGGAAAAAGATGCAATGTATTTGTGGAGGTAAAGTTCCCATAAATATGTAAATTACAAGTTTCCAAATATTTAAATACTGATGGATCCTTCTCTTACTGTTGGTTCTATAATCTGACCTAAGCATACAACTGAATTCATGGAACAAACCCTAACAATATATTCTTTTATACCAGATTTCTTTGTGCGTGTGTGTTTTTTAAGAGTGATTTTAGAGTAGAGTCCACTATAAAAACAATCTTGGACCAATGCTTCTTGCTCTTTTCTTTCATATAGACTTATTGTGAGCATCTCTTTATTGAACTAGGAGTTTTACACATATTCTCTTCATTGTTACCAAGCTAAAGATGCTGAATTAATTAAATTTCTAGAAAGTTCTACTGCATACTCTTGACTTGGTTAGGAAAGAAGCATAGAAATAGAGTTAGGTGACTTGAAACAAGAGTAATGAGGCCGCAGCAGTGGGAAGATGCTTTCAGCCAACAGCACAAGCTATTTATGTTTGTGACTAAGATGCAGGGAAGTCATATTTCATGAATACTAAGACCCACAAGTGACCAATGGGACAGAAAATATGAAAGTACTGAAGTTTGTATTAGTTGGTTTAAAAGAAAGCAATTTTCACAGCCACAACAACTGAGAATCAATCCTTTGTAATGTTTCTTGAGAAATGTGGATGTACTGAAAATGCCACTGTTTCATAGTTTGGGCAACCACAAATTGACCCCAGTCACTTTGCCTGCCCTTAAGGTACAACATACATAACTCAGGGATTTGGGTGTACTTAGTAGGGACCATTGTGGGGGGTACACCAAATGTAGAAATGACAACTTGATAATAACTCTCTCTCTTTCTCAAAGGTGTGCTGGAATGGCCATTTTGGACAAAACTGGTTGTGGTGGCTATTGGCTTCACAGGAGGTCTCGTCTTCATGTATGTACAGTGTAAAGTCTACGTCCAACTGTGGCGCAGGCTGAAGGCCTACAACCGTGTGATCTTTGTGCAGAATTGCCCAGACACTGCCAACAAACTGGAGAAGAACTTCCCGTGTAACGTGAACACGGAAATCAAGGATGCTGTGGTTGTGCCCGTGCCACAGACAGGTTCAAATACACTGCCAACTGCAGAGGGAGCCCCGCCCGAAGTTATACCAGTCTGATGGACCTAGAGGGGAACTTCTTCACAGAAGGATCTTTGCAGCCCCCAGCCACTACAAACAGAAGTGCTTCTGCTCTGGTGGTTTCTTTATCTTCTCTTTTCCCTTACTGACTTGTTTATCCTGACTTGGAGCAAAAAGGAAACGAGAAGAAAACAAGTGGCCAGGATCCCAAGAAGCAGAGCCTGTGGTGGGACCTGGAAAGGCGGAGTGTTTTGGGGAATGAGTTCATAAGGAATGGTTGGTACGAGCCAGTCTTCCAGAGTGATGGACATGTGGTACTCCGAGTAGTGCAGAGGAAACCCCTGAACAGACTTCAATTGCAATGTATGCTTCTTTGTAGGGTTCTGTAATGTTAGCCTTCTCTACTGGAAATCACACACACACACACACACACACACACAAAATCTGGTCATAAGCCTGAAGTTGTGTGCATCACCCCTAAGTTACACCAGAAGCAAACTTAGAGGACTTGAGAGGGTTTTTTTTTTTTTTTAATACTTTGACAGCTGATTTTTCTGGCTATTGTGAAGTCTGGTTATTTTGACAGATGCATGTTTTGAAATGGATGCAATACACATTTGAAGATAGAAATGTTTGGAATTTTGTTTAAATAATGAAGATTTCCAGAGCATTGTGGAGTTTAGCTAGCATTGTTTTTTGAGCAACTATCATGCCGTGTTTTTGTTTAGTTTTTCTGGTCCCTCTTACACAGTGCTCAACAACAGACATATAACATGAGCTACAAATACAATCAGAGTTGTACATTTTAAATCTCCTAGTGTGCCCCATTAGGAAAAGTACAAATAAATAGGTCAATTGATTTTCATAATTTAGTTAACACTATACTAGTTATTTCATGTCATCAATGGAAACAATTATAAAAATAGCTTTCATTATTTTCTTAAACCAAGTCTTCAAAATTCTGCATTTATGGCACACCTCAATATGAATGAAATGTATTGGGCAGGATTTAATTAAGAATATTGGTTAGCAGAGCCCTTGCATTAGAAATGACATCTGTTTCATTTAATTTGATTATTTTTAAACAGCAGTTTGATCCATTATTCTGTTTTGCAGTTTCATTTAAAGGTTATGATTTACAAAGCACTAAACTCATCAAGTTAAGTATTCTGGCTTGATTTCAACCAAGTTTCAAAGGAGCGAAAAGACCAAAAGTATAGAAAGTCAGTAAAATGTGTAGCAACATTATGAAGTTAACTTCTGTATAGAAGCTATAAAGTAATTATGATAGGGAAATAAAAATTTATTTTGCTACTAATTCAGGTGTGTTAAGGTTTTTAAATCCACATGGAGTGTCAACGTGACACTCCATGGGCATCTTAATTAAGGATTTCAACCCCATGTTTAAACCTGACAGTATTTCCCTCATTCAGCCCAGAAGTAAAAATATTCAATACATTCCATGGTGAACGATAAGCTGGACTGTCGGTTGGTTCAACTGCTGATTACTGTGCTCTACACAGATTCAAATAAACTGGTACGAATGACAACTGCAATGAGCTGGGTAAATGCTCACAAATAGTTACCTGTCAAAAAAGGACCACCACATTTTCTTAAAGTGACTTTTGTTGTTGTTGTTAGCGGTCATTATTTATTATCCTGAAAAGGCAGAGATGGCCATAAAAGCCAAAGCATGGGCATCATGTTGCACAAATCTGGGTTCCATATCCATGCACTTTGTAATAATCAGTGTTTGTTCTTCGTGGATGATAAAGAAAAAGGAAAAAACAAAAGGATCTTTCAATGAGAAGAGTATTTGTAGTGATTGACACTGGGTCCAAAAGTCCCACCCTTAGAAATAAAAACAGTAAACAATGTCAATTGTGTGTGTGTGACATGTATATTGATGTATATATGCAAGAGAAATGTTAAGGTCAAGTCAAGAAACAAAAGGTTAAATACTCATCTTCTTAAAACTCGCAGGAGGGGCATGGATTAAATATACCCAACAAGGCAATAGATCCAACTAACCTGCTCCAGGCCTTCAGCACAAATAAGCGGAACTTCGTATTAACTTCCTGCAAAGTTTCCATTTTAAAGATCTAAGAATCGGAACAGCAAAGGAAGGATGGATTGTCCATGACTTCACACAAAAGCGTTCATCATCATTCAGCTTTTCTGTATAGTTCCCCTTGCTCTTCCTATGCTGACAATGTGTTGTCTACCAATACTCCACACAAAGAGGTTTACCTCTTCTTGCAAGTAAACTGCAAAGTAAAATTGATTTCTCTTTTTAAGGCAGGAGGAGGAAATGGGTTATATCCCTTAATTGCCACCGAAAATAGCATTTAAAAATATGATGGTTATTTGAATAGCTTGTTTCACAGAGAAGGGTGATTGGCGAGACCTGATTTTTCGAGGTGTATACCAGCACTAAAAATAATAAAAAGCAGAGACAAGCTTTGCTACATCAGTGAAAAAAGACAACATGCTGTTTTAAATAGCTAAAGTCTTCAAGTTAACTATGGTTAAGCTTTGTTTTTAAATGAGTATATGATAGAACTCTGAACAGTGTATGTACCATTCAGTGATTATTCTGACATATTTTGATGCTTTAAAACCCACAAAAATTTTTCCTCTAAATTATTACCTGAAATTACCATTTATGATTCAAACAAGCTGCCCTAATTATATATGTATATATGCATAACAGTGTTGCAACTGAGCATGGTAGGTATACACCTGTAATCCCAACCCTTGGGAAGCTTAGGATTTCAGGGTTATCCTCTACTACAAAGTGAATCTAAAATAAAGGCCAGGCTAGGCTACATGAGACTTTTCTCCAAAAGTAAAACAAAGAAAGTTAAAAACTCAGTGAGTAAAGCCAATATTGAAAACATTTTTTCACATTGTGTGGTAATGGTGTTTTCTCTTAATAACAATGAAAAGGTTTGGCTTTGACGGCCTGACTTACTGCTCAAAGAGAAAAACCAGCCTGACAGAAGGACATGATCTTGAAGTGTGTTTACCTGCTCTCATGGGGAAAAAAAAAGTGAAATTGAAACAAAATTATCATCGAGTTTAGATGGTTAAAACTGGATTTTTATAAACACAGCATTAAGCTGTGCTATGAGAAACACCATAAACCAGACTTCAAAAACGCTTTCCATCCAGAGCTGACACTGTCACTAGGTGTAATTATTCAATGAGAAATTAATTAAATTAAAACATTTAGGGTAAAGCCAGGGATGGAAGAGGTACATTACTGGTTAGTCCCCTTCTGCTCTCAGAGGCTCCTGCTTGTGCTCTGAGAGCCCACACAACAGCTCACAACCACCTGTAGCTCAGACTCCAGCACACCCAACGACCTTGAGAGAGAGAGAGAGAGAGAGAGAGAGAGAGAGAGAGAGAGAGAGAGAGAGAGAGAGA